CTCTCATATTCGGGTGACAAAAGCCATACCCAATACAAGAGGCTGAGCGAAGAGAGTTCCTGTTTAAGATACGATACGATTAAGATTATTCACCGACGATATCCACATTTTGTACGAATTCCTGACATTAAAGGAATTGTGAATTTTATCCGGGATGTCCCGTGATTTCTCCCTCGAGCACCCCCCCCCCCCCCAACGATCCTTACAATTTCATTATACGTGCACATTAACAATTTAAATTTATTTTTGCAGAGTGCTCCAATAACGCAAACCTATAATTGGATTAACACGAAGACCTATTATGTCAAAAAAGATTTGCCTTCCATATTTACACAGAGTTTCATAGACACAGCTAATAACGTGTTTTCTTTCTAATTTCAGAAGCACAATCCATGCGTGTGCACATACAATACACACATTCGACATTATATTTTGAATTCCATCGATACCTTTCTAAATGTATCTGCTTATACATATTAAAATTTATATAGATGAATAAGAGAAAATGTTACAGATTAAATAACTACAATCAAAACACTTATACCGACCCCAAAAAAAACAACGCGATGCATGATATAAATGAATAAAGCTTATTGAATATATTTTCTTACAAATTAGAAACATAGCACATAAATTATTATTTCATATTTCTATACCCGATTTTTCTTCAATAATCTCCTTGGAAAATTATTATTAAACTACAGTATCATATAAATTATTTAATACATATTATGTATATAAATAATATAATATAAAATAATAATACAATATGTATTATATAATATATAATCTAATATATAGATTATACAGGGTGTCCCAAAAAGGTCGGACCCCTAAAAATATTGAAATAAATACGTTTTACAGAAAGAAGTTTCAGACAAAAGTTGTAGGGTCTTATAAAATATATTTATTCATCTTATCAGTTTTGGACGGCGTCACGAAAATTAGAATAAGATCACCTTGATTTCTTAAATGGAACCCTACATTTTTTATTACATATTCTTGTAGCTTATTTCGAGAGCTTTTCAAAACACTAGAATTAAGTTATTTTTTATAAGGTACCTTCTGAGTTACAGGGCTTGAAAGTTATACTACCTAACAGCCGGTATTAGCGTTATTTAAACGGGGAACCCTATTTTTTACTCCAGAAATTGGATAAATGGATAATTTTACATGTTTCGACGTGTAGTCCTATTAAGAGTCAACGTATTCTTAAGGGTCATTTGAAACGATTTTCAGAACTCGTTAGGATGAGTTTGCTGAATGAATCATTATGATATTATTAAGAATTACGAAAATCTAATAAAGCCCGTTTTTAAGCGTCGCATTAAATACAGACTCTTTCTTCCATTCGTCTTCGTTTTTGAGATTTGTTAAAATTGAAATAATGGCAAACCTTTCAAACCTGTAACTGTCAAGTTTTGTAACTCGAAAGTATCTTATAAAAATAACTTAATTATAGTGTTTTGAAAAGCTCTCGAGGTAAACTACAAGAACATGTAATAATAAAAAATAAGAGGTCCATTTAAGAAATTCAAGGTGTCCTTATTCTGACCTTGGTAACGCCACTCAAGGTCAAACTAATAAGAATCAATGAATAGATTTTTTTAAACCCTACACCTTTTGTCCTGAAACTTTTTTCTGTAAAACGTATTTTTTGGAGATTTTTAAGGGTCGACCTTTTTAGGATGCCCTGTGTATATACGTGTATATATATATATACATATTATAATATATATATATATATATATATATTCTTTTCATATTTATATTTATTTATTTACATATATTAATTTATATATAACTTATACATACAGTACCCTCCACAAGTTCGGATAAACCTTGCATTTTACAATTAAACAATTGCATGGCAGCGATCTCTTATAAATAAAAATGTCATTTCAATATTTTACAATTTATTCAAAAAATCTGTACAGATTGCTGCCATACGATTGTTTAACTATAAACTGTAAGGTGTTTCCAAACTTGTGGAGGGTACTGTCTGTATATAATACATATACATTTGTTTTGTATAAAATTTAGTTAATTATGGCAAGAAAATAGTTTCGCATATAAATCAGAAAAACATATAAAACAGTATTACATTTTTGCATTTCTTAGAACATAAAATTTCCCGATTAGATTGTTCGAGTGCTTTTTCAGAAAAATTATTTTAAATATAAAAGTATATCTCTTGAGAACAATTTATACTCATGTATCGATTATAATATAATCGATTAAACGCACGAATAAGACGCGTGTTCTGTGGAGCTATTTACATGACATTATGTATTTCATATATTATCATACCACGAACACCTTCAGTTTTCCAGGATTATTTGAAGAGGTAAGGTCACCAGTGAACGATACTTTTGGTTAAAATAACAGGCGATTCAACGAATAAGGTGAGGTAAATACATGATATTTAGATATTTCTTTCGAAACATATGCATATAAAAATATACGTTTGCAGAGTTTTTGTTTTTTAAAAGTGATTTTATTCTTTTGTTAAGAAAACATTAAGAAAATCTTCAATCCCTCTTCTTTTGACATCTATATTATTTTTTTCTTTGCAATTACCGTAAAAAAAATTTAGAAATGAATTATAACAGCAACTTCTTTTAATTATTTTTGACATATGACAAATTAAAATTGAAAACAACTTGCATAAGCTTTATTTGATTCATTTCTTTCCTTAATGGATTTTTAAAATCGATATTTTCCGCGTTATGTTAAATTAAATATTTAACAAATGTAAAAAAAAGAACGCAATAAATGTTAATTTTTCATACGATATGTATATAACGATAAATGCAAAAAGTATTTTTATGTTTTTTTATTAATATTCAAATTTGCTCATGAAACATATATGTGTAGACAAAATTGGAAATAATTTGAAAGTTTAATTTCGTGACAACTGTTTCTTCGTGCTATTTGTTTCTTCAGTGTATTCATGACTTACAAATGACATACAGGGTTTGTCCGGAAAGTAATGCGTCGCATTTTTTTGTGACGCGACTATACATCGCAGAGCGATGGGACCGGTTGGGGAGGAAGGGGGTACCCTTAGCTTTCCAACGGTAGGTCGCTCAATTGTTTCCATGCGCTTGGAGGGTTAGGACGGCTTATTCTGTGAACCTCTGCTTAGTGGTCGCGTCGAACTTGTGATGGAGAGAACGATAGAGCAACTCTGCCTCTTTGACTCCGGATCGTACTGAAAGACCCATGACTCATCCCCAGTGATAACGTTGTTCAGGAAATTGGGATTATCTGCACAGAGTTGCTTGAGTTCTTCACAAACTTCCACTCGGTGTTGCTTTTGCGCATCGGTCAACACTCTGGGCACAAGTTTTGCGCAAATCTTCCGCATGGCCAAGTTTCCGATACAATCTCGTGAACAATCGTTTTCGGCAAGTTCAATAATTCCGACATTAAGCGAACATTCATTCGACGGTCTGAATTCAATAATTGGCGCACACGAGTCACATTGTCGTCCGTTCGCGATGTTGACGGGCGTCCTGCGCGGGCCTCGTCGGCGACCTCCTTCCGACCTTCTCTAAACATCTTGTGCCATCTGTTTGACTGCGATTTGGAAAGGCAATCGTCCCCGAAAACTTTCTTGAGCATTTCAAAAGTTTCCAGCGGCGTCTTGTCCAGCTTCACGCAAAACTTTATCGCATAGCGTTGCTCTATCGTTCTCTCCATCACAAGTTCGACGCGACCACTAAGCAGAGGTTCACAGAATAAGCCGTCCTAACCCTCCAAGCGCATGGAAACAATTGAGCGACCTACCGTTGGAAAGCTAAGGGTACCCCCCTTCCCCGGTCCTATCGCTCTGCGATGTATAGTCGCGTCACAAAAAATGCGACGCATTACTTTCCGGACATCCCTGTACATATAAACTTGGATAATTACATATTGGTAAACATACATCAATCTGAATATGAGGATATTTATATATTCAAGATTTAAAAAAAAGCTTTACGTTATGTCTTTAAAAAATGTTGCTATATGTTATAATATTACATTATATTATATTGTTATATATAATATACACGGCACAGCAATATATATAATCATATTTAAAATACATAAGAAAAAAAGGATAACTTTCATAACTTTAATAATTTTAAAAAAATAAATTTTGAAAAATAAATATCGCGTTTAGATTCTTTAATTTGAAGACATAGAAATATTTTTTAATTATTTCAATAATTAATTTTCTCACAAAAGTCGACAGTTCTCCTATTTAGTTTGCATTTTACTTGTTCCTTATTTCTGTATTTTGTTTTACATACATACATTTAGCAAAAGAAAAAAAATGTGTTCGCAGATATCTGAAACGAAAGCCGATATATAATGATGTTCCTAAAATTGACATTAAATGTCTTATTATATATCGTTGTAATGGCAATGGCTTTTCCTATTCATGAAAGTGCGGTAAATAAGGACTATAGTGCAATTAATAACAAATTATCGAATTGTCTGTTACCTCTTCATTATAATTTGAAGATAACATTGTCGCATATTCACAAGTCTAGTGGCGAATCCTATATTAATTTTTATATTAATTGTGGAATACATAACATAACTTTAAGTACATCGAAATATATCAGATTAATAAGAGTAATGTTAATGTCGGTTAGCAGTGAAAAAATCTACAAACCTGATTTATATTATCCTGAAGAGAAAATTGTCGTTCTTACATTTGACGATAACGTCTTACCGGAAAATTACATAGCAAATGGACTTTATATTCTATACGCGAAATTTAAAATAAAATTTCAACAGATTTCGCTAAGTTCGTACATGAACAAAGAAGGAGATCAAGAGTGAGTAAATATTAAGATGTATTTAAAAAAATATATTATCTTATATTTATATGTATGTGTATATGTATATGTATATATGTATATATAGGTACAGAAAAGTATGCTAAATCGTATCGTTAGTAAAATCGTATCTCTACTGTATTTCTTAAACAAAATTAAAATATTTTAAGATGTTAATAAATTACAATTTACTACATTAATTTTCTTATACTTATAAATTAGTTTGTCTTTCTTTATATTTAGATGGATAACTGAAGAAACAATTATTAAATTTTACAATTATATCGAAATAATATTTTTTTATATTTTTGTGTGACGTGAAAAATATATTTGCTCAATTTTTGAAGAAAGTTTAGGATTCAAATATGACATTCTTATTTGTTTTGTTGTAAACTGAAAAGTTTTGTAGAAAATTAAACTTTATTTTTATTCATTTTTTAATTGTATATTAAAAGGAACGATTTAAAAATTTATGAATACAATTTACCAAACCAGTATTGCAGATCGTACCAAATATTACATTTTCAATATTTTTAATTAACGATATATGAAACAATGATGGGATCATGTTTAATATATTGTTAAAAAAAATCATAGTTGTAAATAAATAAAAATATTTTGCCACTTATTTGATAACTGTACAATTTTAATATTTATTTTAAGCGGTATAATTAAGCATATTTTCCACTATGTACCAATAACTGTCGAAACTTTGTTGTTAAAATTTATATTAGGTCCACCGCTACGTTAATCCGATACGGAAAAGGCCGACAATTATTTCCATGTTGGGACGACCCGGAATTAAGCGCCACCTTTAGCATCTCCTTAGAATACAATCCTGCAATGAGAATCAACGTTTTGTCGAATATGCCGATGAACTTGAAACGAAATGAATATAACGAGTCTTTGACGATTATGGATTTCCAAGTCTCGCCTCCATTATTTGCAAACGATGTAACAATAGTTATACTACCCGATGTGTATCCCATGCGGGTTTCTTATTCGTTGAAGAATAGGACAGAATTATGGTGCAGATTAGACTTGGAGCCTCATATGTTATTGGCGGAATATACCATTAAAAACGTAACTCAATTTATAGAAAGATATTGGAAGTTCTTAAAAAAAGTCCCGAAGATGGATTACATCGCTGTTCCAAATTTCAAAGACAAAGTTTTTCACACTACGGGAGTAGTTTTTTACAAGTAATACAAAACACTTAAGATAATATAAGTACAATTTAAATTTCTTTAAATACATATATTATTTTCAACTTTTAAAGATTAAAATAATTCAAAGACATGTATTTTCCTTTCATTTATTAGAATTTTTATTACATTAAATCAAGAACTCAAAAAAAATATTAATTGATTTTGTAATTTTAAGTTAAGACACAAAATTTTGATGTTAAGAAGATATGTTTACGTCTTTATTATTGAATTTATTGTATGAGTTGTGATGCGTCTATATTTTTTTATTTTTATTAAAATCGAATAAGGATATTATTCAAAGATTTTATTACATCAAAGAAAAAATATAGAGAATATTGAAAAATAAAATCTTATTTATGGTATATATCTGAGGAAGAGATATAAAAAAGATATGCACATAAAATTATATAAAAAAATTAAAATATTTAATTTACATGACTCATTGAATAAACTTTTGTAAATTTAATTTTTTTTTATATTAAAATTCAATTAATTCATTTTTATGTTCATTAAAAATCTCCTTTTGTTTGATAAGATTTGAACTATCCTTCTCTCATATATGTGCAACATATTTAATTATTTACCATTTTTAATTTAATTTTGTTTAATTTTTATATTTAAATATTTATTTAATTTTTAATTTAAATTTTTAATTATATCATACTATATCAATATTATAACATAAATTTTCGATATAATCGCAATATTTATCAATAATTTTCAGTGAAGCTGATATTGCTTACAAAGAAGTATTATTTCCTGCTGTGACCAAAATTACAATAATGTGCTCAATAGCTCATGATATAACATATCAATGGATTGGTAATCTTTTTAATCCGTTATGTCTGACTCACTGGTGGTTAAACAAAGGCTTCATTTTGTTTCTTCGTACATATATCCTCGATAAGGTCTTCGATACTTATTATACGATAATATTTTTATATCATGACGACAAGTTTTCTTAAATTGTCTAACTTTTCTTTAGAAATAAAGGAAATGCCGATTATTTTCTTTTTTTTTTTTCAATTTTTTATAATATCTTAACTCTTTGGGAAAAATATTAGGAAATAAATAACATATATGTTTAAATAATGTTATTATTTAAAAATACTTCGTGCAAGAGTATATATTTTGTGTCTGACCTTAACATTATTTATGTTAGATAGTTATACATTAACAATAATTTTGAAAATATAAAATTATATTATATAATATTATACATGATATTAAAATAGAAGAATAAAATATGCAAAGCTAACTTTAGAAATAGCAAATAATTGTATGCATATTAGTTTATATAGTTAATGCAATTTTTTTTTACAAATATATATATATATATATATATATATATATACATATATATACTATATTTAATAAAATCGATAAACAAGTATGTCTGTAGTCATTTCCAGATGACCAGATAATGGATTTCTTCATAGTTCAAATTCAACATAAATCTCGTGAGCTAAACTCTAAAATTGCAATGAGTTCTATGGAATTTACGAACGATATATTGAACCCTGATTTATTTTATCCTCATTCTCCGATTACAGGTATGTACATACGTTAATACATATTATAAAATGTACGATATATACTCGTATACATATATGTATGTATATATATATACATATATATATATATATATATATATATATATATACATATATATGTGCATATAAAATAAAAATTTATGTGTTGTAATGTATATGTATTTAACTACAGATTAAACAAAATTTTTTTTGTCCATTTATTTGCTCTTATTATATTCAGCTGCGACAACAAATTTTTTTTTAATTAATTCATTATTATTAGCTATATGGTCATCAATTTATTAACAAACTTCAAATTTAAAGTATTTATATGTACAGGATGTTCCAAAACAATGTTAGAGATTTTAAGAGCATACTCAGGAGGTCAAAATATGAAAAAAATTTCATATAAACATAGTCCAAAAATGAAAATTAACACCCCCTCCCCTTGCCGTATCTCTCTCTCAAAGTCGAATCAAATTGGCAAATCACATAAAAATGAAGTATTTACTTCTAATTATTACGCTGTGTAAAATTTCAACGATTTGCGAATAAAGTCTTCGAGAGCTATAATAATTTTTTTCTCCCAACTTTAAGGAGCTGTAACTCGAAGGAAAAATACTTTTGAACCCATGTTCAATTCAGAATACGCCCTTAAAATCTATGAAATAGTTTTAGAAACACCCTGTATATGTATATAATTACATATAATTTTTATACGTTTATTATAGGAGCCCTTGTATGGAATATGCTAAGAACAGTTTTTCCTCATAATTTATTTTGGGATAGCATCAAAGAGTATTCAAACACAAATATGTAAGTATAATATTCATTTTGTAATATTTATTTATCTTATTGTATAATGTAATAATTATGTATTTTTAATATAAATATTATACAAATTATTATATAAATATTATATTCATCTGTATTTGAAAGTATAGATACAAAATAAGAGTAAAAATATATCGGTAACAATCCATTCAAAATGCAACAATAAAATTAATAATAATAATCAAAGGCCAGGCTAAACGAGCAAATAATTTTTTCAGATGTAATATTGTTTATTACATTGACATTTAGGGAAACGTTTCAATCGTACTCGGTCCTTTTCAATACTTGTTAAAATAAATTAAATAAACATTAAATTAAAACATAAAAAACTTAAGTATAAGTCTACTAATATAATAGTCAATATCAAACATAATTCCGCCGAATAGATATTGCTTACACATTATTCCGTTGCGCTTTAAATTAATAACGAAATTTGAAACAATAAATAGAACAAGCTCGTTTAGCCTCATCTTTGATTATTATTATTAATTTTAAATTTTATACGAGCGGAATAGATTTCTTTCTTTTTATTGCAACAATAAACATATGTTAAGTAAAAAGTATATTCAATGAGTTTTATCTTCGCGTATTTATCAAAAATTTTAATAACAAAATATGTATAAATACAATTGAAAAATTAACTTTGCCAGAAAGAATATATTAACAAAAATTTATGTAAAAATATATTCATATACATAAATATACAACAATATATTTCACTTTCAAATATAAGAAATTAATAAAAATATATTTTAAAAAATTTTTAAATTAATAAAATACGATAATAAATATTTAAATAAATAATTCAAGAAAATGAAATTATTAGGCGCGTTAGGCTCGTACAGCAAAATCATATCTTTTTCTTATTCTATTCTATCTAGTTATTATTTAACATAAGAGCCGTATCTTATTATCATTATTAAAATGAAATTATGCTGGGCATAATATTTATTTGTAATTTTTATATGGATACTTAATTTTTACAAAATTTAAGAAAGTTTAATCCATAAAATATGCGTATATCAATGCAGCTTTTTTGTTCAACCACAAATCTTTTTGTTTTTATTTTAATTTATTTTTTTATTTTAATTTTAGTTTATATTTTATTTGTTAATATTTTTAAATATTGTGCGTGTTAACTAAGATATTTATAAGTTTGTAACTTCTAATGCAACGAGATTCACACATGTAGATAGAATATTAATTCTTCTTTATATACATAAAAAATTAAAACCTATCAATAATGTTTGTCTAGATTTGAATCTCACATTCGAAATATGCCATCACATTTATACAAATATTGTTAATTGCCGCAATGTCTTTCACAGAATTACTGATTCGGATTCGAAAAGTACCGATGATCTATGGAACATTATGCAAACTACCATGGATAAATTTAGTTCTAACTATTTACCATACAATCTTAGAACGTACAATTTAACTGTAAAACAAGTGATGGATATTTGGTCTTCACAGATTTTCTGTCCTGTTATAAATGTGATACGAGATTATTCTAACGGTATCGCGAAAATTTCGAAGGAGTTTCATAACAAATTAAATCAACAATCATATTTTATACCTGTGACCTACACATCGGAAACAAACGTCGATTTTAATGTAACTTTACCGAATGTTAATGAGTGTTTAACACAGTCGAATTCAGAGTTGAAAATTCTGCATCTCAATGAAAATGAATGGATCATCGCTAACATACAACAATCTGGTAAATATTAAATAATTTTATCATATATTTTTATTTTTATACTTTTTTTTATAAGAATTGAATATATATATTACATATATTACAAACAATAATATTCTTTTAATATATTCTAAAAAAACATTTTCGTAAAATTTTTAATTAAATATTCTTTGCATGAAAATATCGTTTTTTTTTTTTTTTTAACTAAAATCAGTTTTAGTTAATACAATAATAATATTCTCTGCATGTCGCTCAATTATTCAAAACATAAGTAGTTATTTACATTGAATTATTGACATATAATAATTTTATATTTTATAAATAACATATATAGGAGAGTTTTGACATATTTCACTATAAAATATGCGCTCAATTTCTAATACAATTTGTATATATATGAAAATATAAGAAAATAAAATACATGTACATTCGAAATAAATATTTTTTATTGTAATATATATATATATATATATATATATTATATATATATATGTATATACAGGGTAGGCCATTTTAATCTTTCCACTAAAATTTCTCAAAATCCAAAAATTTAAGACAAAAATGTTTCAGATAAAAGTTGTATGGTTTCAAGGGGGACATGAGATGGTGTCATTGATTTGACCTTGAATAGCCATTTGAAGGTTACGTAAAGGTCAACTTCAATTTCTTAAATGGAACACTATATTTTTTCTTGCATACTTTTGTAGCTGACTTCGAGATCTTTCCAAAACACTACAATAAAATATTTTTTCATGAAGTATTTTTCGAGTTATTAAGGCTGCAAATTTGCAGTATTTTGACATAAAATACAAAATATCTTGGGAAATATTCATTTTTCGATTATCATACCTTAATACTTTTATGCACAGAATAATGAGACGAATCAATTGGTGTAAAGAAAACACATAGTTGTCTTAAAAAAAAATTATCTAACTGCTTATTGCAATTTTCATATTTTTTTTTAAAGGTAACTATGTGTTTTCTTTACATCAACTGATTTATCTCATTATTCTGTGCATAAAAGTATTAAGGTATGATAATCGAAAAATGAATATTTCCCAAGATATTTTGTATTTTATGTCAAAATACTGCAAATTTGCAGCCTTAATAACTCGAAAAATACTTCATGAAAAAATATTTTATTGTAGTGTTTTGGAAAGATCTCGAAGTCAGCTACAAAAGTATGCAAGAAAAAATATAGTGTTCCATTTAAGAAATTGAAGTTGACCTTCACGTAACCTTCAAATGGCTATTCAAGGTCAAATCAATGACACCATCTCATGTCCCCCTTGAAACCATACAACTTTTATCTGAAACATTTTTGTCTTAAATTTTTGGATTTTGAGAAATTTTAGTGGAAAGATTAAAATGGCCTACCCTGTATATATATATATATATATATATATATATGTATATGTATGTATACAGGGTGTCCGGTAACTAACGGACCAACGATAACAAATGGATTCTTTGGTCAATTTGGGAACGATTTTTCCTCAGCGAAAATGTCGAAAAAGGTCATCATTTTTTACAACTTTCCAATATTTGTCATTATGTATCTTTAAATTATAACTAAGCCTCAAATTAAAATTTTATCAAGAGACACGGTAGTGTCTCGCGACCAGTTAAGGGCGTAGCGGAGACACCGTGTATCTTAACGCGAGACGGACATTTGAGTCTTTATAATATTTCGAATCCTCAATAATGGCTGAAGCAATCGAGTTTATACTAGACTTAATCGATAGATTGAGTTCGAATTATATAATAAAAGTGTCTTTATTTCTGCTCTACGTGATTTGTAAGCAGAGATATATAAATGCAAAGTCGAAATATGAAAAATTTCTATTAAGAAACGTCCCCGTCATCATTATCATCATTATCATCATTATCATCATTATCATCATCATTATCATCATCGACCACGCATACATAGTAGTATCGTGCTACACGTATTCACACGTATACAACACATGCGCACACATATATCACACGTACACAACACATGCAAGATGCATGTAGTGGTAATTTTGTCCATCTCGCACGTTTTACAACAGATGGCGATAGTGGCGCTCCGCCATATCGGCAGCGTGCGGGGTTATGTTGGCTAACTCTCTCTCTCTCTCTCTCTCTCTCTCTCTCTCTCTCTCTCTCTCTCTCTCTCTCTCTCTCTCTCTCTCTCTCTCTCTCACACACACACACACACACACACTCTCTCATTCTCACTCACTCACTCACTGTTCGTCTTGTGTACTTATTTAGTACATTCATGATTAAACATCTATATGCATTAATGTGAAATTTACTTACAATTAGTTTACTTGAAATATTCAATCTCTAAAGTGTTTATCTTATAAGATAGACAAAAAAATCTGAGTAAATAATAAGAAAAAAAAACAAGGATTATTATTGTCATAATTTTTTATCAATTAAGTACTCTCAACTATCCAATAATTAAATAAATACGTACAAATGTGCGCGCGTGTACACACATACACATATTGATATTAAAGAGATTGAAGGAGAGGAAGGAGAAGATAAAAATTTAAATATTCACATATATTTTCAAATATTATATATGAATTTATAGTTTACATATCTAATTAATAATGAATTTCTAATTATATTAAACATATCAAAATAAAGACATACATGTATTTATCAAATGAATAAAATTATTGAATACAGACTTAAAAAATTTATTAAACATAGACTTAAAAAATTAATTAATTAAACATATTCCAAATTTAGAAAAAATAAACTTTATTTATATATGCAACAGCTTTTTAAACTAAATTTTTAAATTCTATTTTATATTAGACAATTATCTCAATCAACATCTACGTCCACATTAGCTGCACTGCAGACTACCTCTACAGCCACATTATCTGCTCCGCGGATATAGCGTTATGCCAATACGATACATTACATGTACTTACTTACTTGCCTTTACTGTACCAACTCTTGTTCTTTCCACGTAATCATGTTTTTACAGTTATCGTTTGCTGTATATCTTCCAGCAAACTTTATTTCGTGTGAAGTGTATTTAATTAATTAAATCTCTGCGAAAGATTGAGAAGATGAAGGGATAATTCAAACTATGAAGACATGGTTACATGGAAAAGACAAGAGTTGATACAATAATAAAGACATACATGTATTTGTATCCTGCTGGCATAAGGTTATAGAAGTTGATTGAGATTGAAAAATAATAATGAAAATAATAAAAAAAATAAAGACACATGTATTTGTATCGTGCTGGCATAAAGTTATAAAAGTTGATTGAGATTGAAAAATAATAATAAAAATAATTAAAAAAAGGAAATATTCAATCATCATTTAAAAGCATATTTGAAATCTGTAGAATAAACAGTTTTTGCAAAAAATGTGGAGCATTTGAGCTCTAGTAAGTCTAAAAATAAATGTAAACATCAATTAATAATAACTGATGTTATATATATATTATATATATAAACCAATTTGTTGCAATATTCACTATAAAAGGTTGTAAGGGTAAGATGGCTAAAAGTGAATAATTTAAAAGATAGTTAACATAATTTTACATAAACTGAAATATTTCATAAAATAAAATATTTGTAATATTTCGAAGTTTATGTAAGATTATGTAAAAATTATACCTTTACAACTTTTTATAGTAAATATTGCGAGGAATCGATTTATATGAGAAAAATTAAGGTAATTCTATTTTGAAAATATAAGTGACCTTTAAATAACCTTGAAAATCGCCGTTTAGGAAAAAGTCTGTGTCAACTTTTTCTTTTTCGAAATCCTGCAACTTTTATCTAAATTTAATAGAAAATGTATAAAAAATGCTCGACATTAGTACACACACACACACACACACACACATATGGGTAAATTTATATAAATAGGGTGCTTTAGGAGGAATGATCAGGATTCTAGGATATGATTGTACACATCATTTTAAGCAAAGAAGTTTAGATAAACATGTTTAATAATTGTTCTATTCCGGTCATAAAAATATACAAAAATGAATGATATAATCTCTAAAAACTCACCTTTAAAAAAAGGTAAAAAAAGGCGACCAGTTAAGGGCACGCCATTAACAAAAATTATCCATTGCAAACCCATGTAGAATCCTATCCTATTGCAAACCCATGTAGAATCCTATGAAAAATTAATCATTGCAAACCCATGTAGAATCCTAGGCAAAATTAACCATTGCAAACCCATGTAGAATCGTACCCATTGCAAACCTATGTAGAATCCTATGAAAAATTAACCATTGCAAACTCATGTAGAATCCTATGAAAAATTAACCATTGCAAACCCATGTAGAATTGTATTAAAAATTATCCATTGCAAACTTATGTAGAATCCTACATTGCAAACCCATGTACAATAGAATTGTATGAAAAATTATCGATTATAAACCCATGTACAATCGTAACAAAAGTAATGAAATAAAAAAAAAATTGCGCCAAGTGAAAGTAGAAACTTGTACCAGTGGAAAATTAAAGTTGCAGACATATATAGAGTCGTATAATGAATCAGTAAAAATTTAAATTTGCAAATGTAGAATCGTACCATAAAAAAACTTATCTTTTAAAAAAAAAGATAAACAAGATGCCAAGTCCATGCGCCATGTGAAAAAGAAATAAAAAAATTTTAGTTAAAAAAACTGGGAGCGCTGCTAAATAATATTCTAACAATATTAAAATTAAATTGTTACTTTTAAACTCATTACAGTTAAAATATGTTTTGTGTTTAAATTAATTAATGTTACTTTAAGGTGCATTGTAATTTTGAAACTTAGCAGCGCGCCCAGTTTTTTTAACTAAAATTTTTTTATTTCTTTTTCACATGGCGCATGGACTTGGCATCTTGTTTATCTTTTTTTTTAAAAGATAAGTTTTTTTATGGTACGATTCTACATTTGCAAATTTAAATTTTTACTGATTCATTATACGACTCTATATATGTCTGCAACTTTAATTTTCCACTGGTACAAGTTTCTACTTTCACTTGGCGCAATTTTTTTTTTATTTCATTACTTTTGTTACGATTGTACATGGGTTTATAATCGATAATTTTTCATACAATTCTATTGTACATGGGTTTGCAATGTAGGATTCTACATAAGTTTGCAATGGATAATTTTTAATACAATTCTACATGGGTTTGCAATGGTTAATTTTTCATAGGATTCTACATGAGTTTGCAATGGTTAATTTTTCATAGGATTCTACATAGGTTTGCAATGGGTACGATTCTACATGGGTTTGCAATGGTTAATTTTGCCTAGGATTCTACATGGGTTTGCAATGATTAATTTTTCATAGGATTCTACATGGGTTTGCAATAGGATAGGATTCTACATGGGTTTGCAATGGATAATTTTTGTTAATGGCGTGCCCTTAACTGGTCGCCTTTTTTTACCTTTTTTTAAAGGTGAGTTTTTAGAGATTATTATAGGCAACTTTACCTGCAATTAACTGAAGAATGTAATTATGTTAGACTTTTAACTCCAAAACGTTTAGTTTTCAAAAACCCATTTTTTTCCATCGCTTATAACTCAAAAATTATTGACTTCTCAACATTTTTGCTAAGGAAAAATCGTCTCCAAATTGGCCAAAGAATCCGCCCTTAATCATTGGTCCGTTAGTTACCAAACATCCTGTATATAATATTTAAAATATTTTACCAATTAAATATATTTTTTGAACAATATAGGATACTATCGCGTCAATTATGATCCTGAAAATTGGCGAAAAATTGCCCATTACTTGAATTCTGACGAATATACAAATATTCATGTTCTTAATCGGGCGCAAATCATCGATGATGCATTCTATTTCGCAATACAAGGAAAACTGAATTTCTCCATATTCTGGGAACTCACAAGCTACTTACCAAGAAGAGAAACAAATTACATAGCATGGTATCCTATAATCAAAATTCTTCAATATATGTTGCAAATATTTCCATTCTCAAATGCGCCAGAACTTCCCAATGTGCTAAAGGTATTATCAGTTTACATGCAATTATCAGTCAGATTATCATTATATATTGATTATTAATTATTATATTCGACAACGAATCGACGTCGATTCGACCATCATTTCTCACTAGGATGCATACGACCAATTTTTAAATAATAATTCTGATATAATTTCTTAGAAAATAACCAATGTTTGCTGCTTTCTAAATAAAATTATATAGATGATCATCTAGATGAAATTTTGACATCATCTAATTTTATATAAATAATGTAAATATGTATTATCTATATCTGCATCTTAGAAAAAAAGTTTTATTAGATTATCTAGAATAATATTCAGATAATTTGGTTTAAAGTCATAGCATATAAAATTATATAAGTACTTATAATATATAAAGTATATAAGTAACTTATTAGTAGCGATCATAAAAAAAGTAACCGATAAAAACTTATTAATAAAAGTATGTGTGTGTGAATAAATTTTTATACTCTTTTTATAATTTATATTTTTTTACAACTATATTTACATAAGTGAATTAAAAATAATATTATCTGTGAAAATTATCTAGATGATTCACTATATAATTTTATTTTTTATCTAGATATATTTAAAATAAAATTATCTTCATTTTACATTTAGAATTTTATGTATTATTATCTCACTTTTATCTTGCTAATGGTACAATCATCTAAGCAAGAAATAAAAATTTATTTCTTTTACCAAATTTTGCAGGAAGTATTATTAAAAATAAAAAGTTTGTTTGAAGAAGTAAAATACGATCAAGCGATACATTTTGACGAGAACCGTTACAAACTACATAATTATTTGAACTTGGTACTTTCAAAATTGGGATGCATCGTCGAGAATGTTCACTGTTTAGAAATGGCCAAACATCAATTGGAATTGCATCTAAGAAATCGTGATAAATATAAGTAAGTCTTTCGTTATATTTTTGTGTTGACACTTTTAATACTGTGCACACAAATTTGATATATATATATATATATATATATATATATATATATATAATCGAATATCAATATACATATATGTTTCAAATTATATATATATAAAATATCTCCATAAACGTCTCTCTTTTTTACTTGTTCAATTTCTATCAATTTTGTTCTTAGTATTTAAGTAAATTAGTTAGATGATTAAAAAAATTTCTAGAATAAGAATAATTCTTGTTTTGTTTTTTACATAAAATAATACTCGCAGAAATTAAATGAGGGATTGACTACGAACAATCATATTTAAATTACATATTGTTCTATAGATTAGCAATTTATTTTCAGATTTCTTTAAATTTTACGATTTTGCAATCTTCACTAGTACGGCAGGTTCTAAATAAAATTGAGATTTAATATGTAAAAGAAATCTTTTTCGCGTTTTTTTTTTTGGTGAAAAAAGTTAATGTGCATTTTATAGGGTAATTAATACATTTATGATATTTAATCAGACGTTCTAAATAACGTTAACCTTTTTTACAAAAGACATCAAATATTGCAAGAAAAACCATTTTTAATGGAAATTTTATATACTAGTGAAATTTGTAGCACCCAAATATCCATAAAAAACAATTTGTCTGGTTTAAAATAATTTGTTTGGTTTAAAATAATTTTTAGTTGTGTTATTAACATTATTTTTCTAATTATTTTAACATTGTTCTTCATAATATTGTTTCTATATACAGGCAGGATTATAATAATCATGAAAAAAATATATGTATCTTATTTGCATATATATGTATATGGTATATATGTAAATGCATATGAACTTTTTCCTTTAATATTTATTAAAACCTTTATGCTAAATATAACGACCATGGAAACGTGTCAAAAATAAAAATGTTTCTTTTCTGTACATTGTAGAATAATACCTGAATGGCATAAATGGACATATTGTAATGGTTTAAAAAGAGCGAACTACACTGTTTGGAAACAAGTATGGACAGAAGCAACTACTAAATACCAAGAAGAATCTGATTATACAATGTTTGAATTTCTTACTTGCACCGAGAATCACCAAGTTCTTATTTATCTGCAGTCAGCTTTAAGGAGATTTGAAATGGATTTGTTCTTTAATAGTATAAATAATGAAATGCAAGAAGTGATAAAAAATCAACAGCGTAAAATATATACTAAAGTTTTTTTCTCTATTCTTGCGACACATACTAAAAATAATACAATGCTTCGAGAAATATTAACAAATTTTGATAATATAAAATTTAGGTAAATATTGCACACGGACGCACACATTTTCTTTATAAAACATACTAGTTATATTGATAAAAATTTAATCAATATGTATGTGTTAATTATAATTCTCTTCTCTATATATTGATATATTGTATATGTATATATATATATATATTGCTTTAATTTTTTAGCCATATCAATAGCACTGCAGCATTAATTGTTCTTATTAATAATGCATACTCTGTAAATCAACTTGACCAGGTAAAGCTTATAAATTTCAAAAAAATTATATTTTTATTTGTAAAATTAGTAAAATTCTCACTCTAATATTTATATCTAATCGAAATGTATTCCGCCATATCATATATTGCATGTATAATGTAACAAAAATATATAAAATTACGTATATAATTAACTGTAAATTGCACTATATAATAGCTAGATTGCACTATATAATAGATAACTAATAAAAATTATACATATTTTTGCGTAATATATTACATATATATATTTTTCATTACAATGTAGAGAGAGATTACAATGTACAAGATACAATGTTTTTCTCTTTTTCTCTTACATACCTGTGTACGTATGTATTGATATTTTGTGATTAATTATGAAATTACTGATTAATAATAATAAATAAAAATTTATTTCAGATATCTGCATTCGCGAAGCAACATATGCAACAATTATTTCCAGAAGTTGACCAGAAGGCTGCAAACGTTTAATACAGATTAAAGTTCAGCTGAGATTTTTCAAAATTTGATCAAAGAAACCAATAAGTTCGGTACGGTATAATTTATAATGTAATTAGCTCAAATAACTCAATTTGGTCAACTGTAAATGTAGTATTAGGTACGTGAATACAAAAACATGCATAAACAGACATAAAATTACAATAATTACATAATTACAAATTAGTATTAAAACTGCAAAACTACCTCAATTATGAAATTTTCCAAATATATTATAAAATTGTATATTAAGTTTTTATATATTTATTTTGAACAATATTATCGACAATATGTTTACTTATGATTTTAATTATTTTTTTATTGTTTATAATTATATATTTATTATCATAAATGTTATAACGACTTTTATACTTTTTTATTTCAATATTTATATAAACATTGATTACGTTTATATAATTATTATTATGTAATATGCACATACATTTATATAATATACATATACACATATGATCTATATGTAGTAAATAAAAACATAAATATATATATTAATAAAAAATATTTATTATTTAATTAAATATTTACATAAATTACAATAGTTCAACTATTAAAATAAAATTTTTATTGATATTTATATTAAGTTTTATAATAATTACTATATTTATTGTTAATGTATTTAAAGTTTTATATATTAATTATTTAAATCTGTAAGAATAACAAATATTATATTAATGAAACTAAATGTAATAATAAATTTAATGCCAAAAATATATATTCTTAAACGTTTTTGGTACCTTCTTTTCATATTTTCTACATAACATTGGCGAATAATATTACCGTTAATTTATTCTTTATAAAACAAGCTACCTCCATAAAACATTTTTTATCATTTAGGACTATGCTTTTAAAACTAATTTTTATATAATCATATCTTATTAACGACAATGGACTATTGGTCTGCATGCCTTGGGCAGGACTTCTATAAGAAGCTCTTCCCTCCGTCTTGTATGATTATTATATCATATTAAGGTATTTCTATTTTATTTACTAATCGCAGGTACCATTATAACAAAAAGATTTATTTCATCAACTGAGAAGGTTTTTTTATTAATTTAAGTGCAATTGATTTCTTAAAGAATTATATAAGTATCAAAAATCACGTAAAAATAGAAAAATATGAAATGATGTACAATATTGGTACAAAACTCAGTGAAAATTAAACAATACACATTTCTTAATGTATAAACATACAATTTCCTGATTAAATTTCTTGTATGCTTATTAATTTCGAGGCAATTTTAATGTTGAATTCAAAGTATCTTTTGGAAACTGTTCAATTGTGTTTTAACTTCCATTGATCTAGTAACAATGGAATAAGACTTGTTATATGTAACCTTGTAGATTTATTTACGTATTTCATTTTGTATCGCAAACGTTGTCAGTCTTCGATAGTCTCTCGAGAAAGCGAAATTAAGATTGAGCAACACACTTTTGGTTAAAATAACGCCTGTGATTGAACAAACAAAAAGATAAAGGTTTGTAAAAAATAATATTTTAATAATTCTTTTGAAATAAATGTATATAAAAATATGTAGAAAACATACAATTGCAGAGTTTTTATTTTTAAAGATATTTTATTTAGTTTTTAAGAAAAAATGATACTTTTTATTTCAACAATTATCTTTATTCTGCATAATATATTTGAAAACATTTAGGTTCTGTAAAACATTTTTAATTTGTTATATCCTATAACAAATTGAGTATACTTGTTTAATTTATTTTAGCTCTAATAGATATCGAAAGTTAATGTTTTTTTGGAACGTTATTACAAAATTAAATATGTCATAATTATAAAGAAAAAAACAAATATGGATATTAATTTTTTTTTAAACAATGTTTCTACAATGACAAATGATAATAAATATTCGCTTTTTTAAGTTCAGATTTGTCGTAAGATATATAATGACAAAATTTGAATTGAGTTTAATTTCGCAACAGCAAATTCTTTATTATTATCCGTTTTTTTTATCTAAACATGATTTACAAGTTACACATATAATTCTAATAACAATAACATATTGATAAACATAACTGAAAATACACGTTTAATATTTAGTTTTTTAAAATGAGATATTATTTTATACACATTTTCGTGCAAAATTATATAATATATTTCCGACTGTAACATTTATAAAAAAATATGCTATCTCTCTTAATCAAGTTGTTTTACACATATTATAAAATATATGATACAGAGAAATGTAATTAGAAGCTTATAAGAAGACAAAAGTTCATATTATCTTATTAAATTTGGAAAAACAAAAATATAATCAATATAGGTTAAATCTTAACAATATACAACTCTCGTTCGTAGTGTAAATTATTTAATATATATTTGATATTACAAGTTACATTTATTATATTCCATTGGTATTTACACTGGTGATTCTAATTTGTCATTTGATAATTTCAGTTTTGAAAGAATATAGATATATATATACATATATTAAAAATAATTTATATTATTTATATTTAATTTATATTATTATAAATTTATATTTTACAATAATATTATAATTAATCAGGCATTGGTCTATATTAAATTGGGAATTAAAAGAATTAAAAAGAATTTATTGTCAAATCGAATATTATACAATATTAATAAAATTGATAAAAACAAACTTTTTTTAATATACATATAAAAGACAATAAGAGCTAATTAAGTTTTTCATTAATATTTATTTGTGGAAAAAGATTATAACATAAAAATACACAGAAATAAATTCGAACGTTCGGTTGTCTTTTTCAACCTTCTTCAGCGCATCATTAAAAATTAAGATTAATAGAAATTAACAATGAATTATCATAACTGTCAATATATAAAACTATACAGAAACACAGTTATTCGCATAAAACTACGTCAAGCTATTTTTTTTTTTTTTAAACGAAATCAACGCATTTTTAAAGCATGAGTATTTTTATATATTCTATTCCTCGAATCGTCATTCTATGATTCTATGTAATTGTCGCGAAACAAATCTCTCGCTAATTGTTCGGTTAGAAGGTCGGTTGCGAATCTCGATAACAGCAATTGTTAATATGTCTATAAAATCATTGTATACGAAAAATTAACATTTCGATAACAATGCTGTTATCGAGATTCGCAACCGACCTCCCAACCGAACAATTAGCGAGAAATCTGTTTCGCGACTATTACATAGAATGACGATTCGAGGAATAGAATATATAAAAATGCTCATGTTAAAAATGCGTTGATTTCGTTTTCTAAAAAAAATAGCTTGACGTAGTTTTATGCGAATAACTGTGTTTCTGTATAGTTTTATTGTATTGACAGTTATGAATAATTGATTGTTAATTTCTATTAATCTTAATTTAAATGATGCGCTGAAAAAGGTTGAAAAAGGCAACCGAAACGTTCGAATTTATTTCTGTCTAATATTTTATGTTATAAATCTTTTTCCAGAAATAAATATTAATGAAAGAACTTAATTAGCTCTTATTGCCTTTTATATGTATATTATTTTTTAAAGAGCTGTTGCAAATCATATCAACTTTTTTTATTAAAATTAACACATTTCCGTAGTCGAAGTAGATAAATTGCATTATTATAAACATTTTTTGTAAAATTGATAGATTTTATATTTAAATAAATGGTGTATTTTTTGCACTTTTTTCTCTAACTTATTCCTTATTTATTTTTTTTTTTTATTATTTTTTATTGGATATTTTTATTTTCTTTATTTTCAATTTTAATAATTCTTATATCTTGAAGATTTATTTTTGTATTTTTATTATAAATTTTAATTTTTGTATTTTTATTATGAATTATGATATTTTTATCTTAGATTTTTTATTTTTTTGTCTTGTTGGGTTTTTATTTTTGTTTTACTGTTTTTTGTATATTCTCAGAGAGAAGTCGACGTTCTGCATTTTCTTTTCTCGTTCTTTATTTATGTTTTTGTTCAATTATTCTTAATATTAGCAAAGATATTATTTTTTTATTTAAGATTTCTGAAAACCAACATGATGTTCCAAAATTATCATATATATATTATTATACGTCACTGTAATAGCATTGCCAGTTTTACCAAAAAAAACGCAAAGTAAAGTGCCATAGCGTACCTAATTACCGTAATTCATCGATTAACAACTGTATAATACCGATTCATTACAATCTGGACATCTCATTGTTACCAGAATTTTCACCCAGTGGCGAGTTAAATGCCACTTTTTATATAATTGTGAAATATCAAACATAACTTATATATTTTCAAAATACATGAATATAAAGAAGTGAATTTTAAATCGCTTGATGAAACAATTCATATTCCAAATTTTAATTCTATTTATCTGGAGGACATTGCTATTTTCGATTTTGTTGAATATTTATTGCCTAAAAATACAAACTTAGATTGTGGAGTTTACACTCTGTACGTAAGATATGACGTATCATTAATTAATCCGAATTTGAAATTTTACTATATAAAAGGAGAACCTAATGATATTATTAGAAACGTAAGTATATTAAAAAGTACTATAATAAATTATAATTAAAAATTAATTAAAGTAGTATAAGAAATAATAAATAAGTAAATATGGTATATTAAGAATAAGCTAATATTTATGTACACATACCAGGTGTGGCAATAAAGAAACTGGATTGATTTTTTCCTCATTTCCGACCACGTCGATAACGAAGAGGAGAGCGGGGCATTGACTCGTGGACTCCCCTCTACGCTCACAAAAGTTTCACGCATGCGCTGCGGTTAGTCTGGTCATAGCCGTTGTTAGAAGCGGATCGTGTATCTGAGCTCCGTCGGAATCATGTTACGTGCTAATGTAGAAAAACGTGTTAACATCAAATTCCTCACAAAACTAGGAAAATCTGCCACAAAAACTTACAATTTATTGACAGAAGTTTATGGTGATCAATGTCTATCTCGACGCAAGTTTTCGAGTGGTTTAAGAAGTTTAAGGAGGGTAGGGAAGGTCGGGGACGATTCAAAATCGGGCCGTCCTTCCAACTGCGAAAAACTGAAGATAATATGGAGAAAGTCAGTAAAATTGTTCAAGAAGACCGCCGCT